CGATTAGAATCTATGAGTTATTGTACTGAATACTGCATTCAAAGAAACACTTGATTGATGTTAAGTAAAAACTTGGAGCTTGATGAGAGCAGTCAAGAGATTGTGTTGAGGATGCTAATGAATAGGAGACATTTCCGAGAATCGATTGATCGATGTGATTACTGGTTAGTCGAAATGGAGTTGTTCTAGATTTACTTACTTCATTGTGCACGTCGATGATGAGCATCGTGAAATGCGATGTCTACTTGATGATGAGCGACGTTGGAAGAAGAAATTTTCAAAAACTAACTATACGATTCTAGTGAATACGTGTGAAAGAAAAATTAGTCAAAAAACAATACATTATTCAATCAGTCTTTGATCTTCTGAGGAAATAAAGCTTTGGCATTATTTCGATTTATGTTCTTCCACATATCCTTTTGTTTGTTCGTGTTGTAATTCTTTTTGAAGAAAGAATCGAGACATTTGGTTATATAAAGGGAAACTGGGAGTGAAGCATATGGTACGTCGCTTCCAAATACGATTTTCGATGGATCAGCAAATTCTAGCAGTGCCTTAAGTTGAGGAACACTTGATGACAATGCGGTATCAAAGTAGAAAGAACGTAAATCAGACAAAATTTGTCGAGGTCCTCGAGGACAGTTCAAAGATCGAATAAAGCCTGCACCTGCTATACGTTGGGCAAGAAATGGAAGCGTCCCACCCGCATGAGACAAGATTATACGAATGTTGGGAAATGCAGCACGCGTACCACTGAGAACAATGTCTGAGGCTGTTCGAGTTGTCTCATGAGGATAATCGACAAGTGGTTGTGGCATGTAACGATTAACTGTTGTGGTAGGTGCTGTACTTGGATGAATAAAAACAACAGTGTTGATTTCGTTCAGTTTGGCCCAGATCGGTTGAAACGAAGCATGCCCAAGGTATTTTTCGTGACCATAACTTGTAAATAACGTAAATCCATCGGCTTTGAGAACTGAATGAGCATAATCGATTTCAGCAATAGCACCATCGATGTCGATCAATGATGGGAGTGAAGCGAAAAATCCTAACTTTTCGGTATTGTTCTTTACCAAATTGGCCGAATATTCATTCAGTTTTCTAGCAAAGATTCTACCTTTTTTCGTATTGCCTTCGTAAATCTTGGTACCAGGTGCCGTAATTGACACAATTGCAAGTTCCACACCCAAAAGATACATACTTTCTTTAGCTAGCTGAAAAGACCATTTTGGAGTTGGCCAACCTGCTGGATCTCCACCAGTTTCTTGTACAGCTTGAGCGTAGAACTCAGGAACGATATGATGATGTGTATCAATACGACGGGGTTGTCTATTGATTAAAGAACCGATAATTCGAGCACCTTGGATTCGGGCACGATCCGTAATGTATTTTTGATATCGTTTAGTTTGATCTCCAGATCAAGAAAACGTAACTATTAGAAGACCACAACTTTTTCTTACCTGTCAAGGATTCAATTGAGTCAACGAAGTCTTGTGAATATTCTTTGGTATTTTGAGATATTGTTATATTATTCTCATTGGTTTTCCATGGTCGATAATATCTCGAAGGCTTAGTTGACTGGAAATGATATTTCCACGTAGAAAGTATGAGTTTCAAGCAACGAAAATTTTGCATGATTACTAAAGATATTGTAATTAAATTGTATACAATTTTATGAAGTATCTACAATGAGAAATATTTCAAGATATTAACCATCAAGTTTACTTGATTTTAATCTTGAATGATTCGTGTACCTATACAATAATGAAAATCAATCAAGATAAGAAAACCATATCTTACAAAAATCCTTAAAAGATCAATTTTGTGTATTAATTAGACAATATCTAGCATTCCATATTCTAGCACGTTATGGTGTACGTGTGTAGAAAACAAGGCCCATATTCAGACGTGCCCCTATACTGCCGTTCATCCCCTAAAGAAAAATGCTAGCAAATCCATGTGAGAATTTAATAGCGGAAGTTACTTTAAAATTACTTGACTTTTTTGGCGTATAAGAGCTTTCAAGCGTATATTTCAAGCATTTTTGAGAAATTAAACATGCTTTACCCACTTAAAAGTGCTTCCAAGGACTATTTTTTCTGGCATTGAAGCTATTTTCAACAACTCGTTCTAGACCAGCATCCTCAAAGCAATTAAAAAAATATGACACACTAATACATATAATTACTGTGTGTTATGAACGTTTGGACTAAACAATAGAACCACTGGTGTCTTGCTGAATCGTTTTTCGAGATTACACAAGAACTTGGTGGTTTTCTTGCATCGTACTGTGTTCTCTTTCTTGGCTATGCCATCGTACACGGTCTTGTCGTGTCAACATTGACAAAGAGAATTTTTATAGTGACAAGGAAACAAAATCAATCGATCCTCATTCGAATTAAAACTGATCAAATTTGGCTGCAAGTAACACTAAGATTTCCTCACAGATGAAAAAAAATCTTCCCAAATAGGTGATAATCAACGAAGTCAAATACCTGCTAAAAATATTCGAAGCCGATCGAATTTGTCGATGGACGTCAAAATCTAACTCTTGTTTGATCGTATAAATCTATGTATGTTTTTCAGAGAAACATGCAACTAGATTCTTCATTCAAGTGGAATTTTTCTTGAAACAAAGTCCAGTGCGTTGTTGAATTACGCAGAGACTAGTTTGTCACTATAGAGATTCGCATGCTACTGTTCACGATAAGGAAGAAAACTATATTCAATGAGGCAACGACAAAGTATCGGACGCTAAATTCGTTGTTTTATCGCGAAAGCTTAAAATTCATCATCAGTATTCGGCAACTTTTCTAAAATCTCACTATTTTCAGAAGTTCACCCAGTGTTGCTTTTCTTCGACGAAGTTTATCATCGACACAACATTGGATGAGACGTACATAAAAGTTGATAACTTGTTTCATGGATTAAGGAAAGCCCAATGGACCATCACCGACACATGAGACAAGGATTACAATCGCTGTACGATATACACTGACACAGTTAACCACATGGAAGCCACACAAACGAACTTCACCTAGATTGTACTCACACGAAAAAGGATACTTGCCAGTGTAGGAGAAGCTTAATTCAGAATGCCTCCATCGGAAAAATGTCAAGTATACTGCTGGTATTCTTCATACGTTGCTCTGTCAATAACCAAAACCGGACCGATCACATCGAAAGGATTCAATGTGTTTTGATTTCGCTGATGCAAATAAAGCAATCAACCAAAGATGTTGCTAATGACAATTGGAGTACACGTGAACGCATATCAAAGTGGGAAATAGCGAATAGAGAGAGCCAAACGGGCGACAAATTATATCGTTAATTAATGGAAGAATATCAATGTTTAATGATGTGGACATACTGCGAAAGTTGGGTGACGTGGACAAAGTAAGAAAATCATTGGTGAGCATGAATCCACTGTGGTTATTGGAAAACACAATGACTCTCGAATAGTAACAAATGGAAATGTTCATCACTGACCGACAACGATGAGCTGACTAGTACCAATTGAAAGAGTGGAATGCACAATGTTCCATCGTTTGAATACAGATTCTGATTGCATTGATATTCGACGATTTCTTGCTATGAATCTTGATTACAGTCGATAGATATTGTTGATTGTATTTGAGTATGCCAAGTAAATAACGATTGGCTTCCGCGCGCCTACACGTGTGCATACGCGAATGGTGTTTGAGAAGACACTGAATCATCGATGAAACATTCTTGATTATTGACGCTTAATTACCAGATAAGTATGCAGCATGGCTAATCGCTCCCCAACCACCATCTGCACAAAAACACTTCTCCAAACGGTTGAGTATGTATGTCGCACGAGCCTTACACGATATAAAATCTTCTCATATTTGCGATTATGCTCGACGACCAACGAGTAACTATGCACTTTGATGATGTGTTTTTATCTAGTTCTGTCCTTGATCTCAGTTATTCGTACTGAAAGATGCAAGCATTTATCTACTGATGGACGTTAAAAAAATATTTTGTGTCAATAGACAAAACCTTCAATAGAAATGCAACGAGTTATCTCTAGAAAGGAGAACACAAGTGCTTTTATGACACTTTTATGTTTTGATGAAGACTCTTACAAAGAACACAGCAATGAGTGATTCGACTAACTTTGTGTTTTCATTCATTTTCGAAAATGATTGTCAATTACCATCCGTTTTTTGGAAATCGAATTATGCAAATGCGTGTCAAATGTACATTTCGAGTAATGCTTTTGTTTTTTAAGTAAGGAATCACCATTTCAGTCTCTCCTTATCGATTTTAAAATTAGATATCGGTGTAAGTATAGGATAGGTAAGAAAATATGAGTATTGATTCAATGTCACATTTTCACAAACACTAATTCCACACTCACCTCACTTTTTAATAAGATTATCTCATTATTGCGTTTCATTAATCAGTTCACAATATCAGTCACCCAAGACAAGAAAAGATCAAGTCATAAATAACATTGATTATAAGTATATTCTCCATGTTAAAATTTAAAAAAAAAATGTTTCTGTTAACATCAGAGAAGTAAAAATTTATTGAGTTCTATGGAAAATGTGATTGAATGTATCATCTATACGTGGTAAATCAAGGATAAATTTGTTTATTAGTACCAATATTTGTTTTACCTCTGTAATATTACTTGAGAAGCATACAAGGCGCTTGCTCCGATTTTTGACCTAAGCTGTTGTTCCTCTTTTAAAAACTCAACCGCCGGAAGATCTGACTTAGTTTCCTTATCAGTACAGTCTAATATATCCACCAAGCATCAATGTTAATAGCTCTCTCATTACTCTTTTCATTGGCATTTCAATCGTTTTATTCTAAAACGTAAGCGACATACTGATGATGTGTTTTTTTATTCGAGACAGATGAATCGAAAGAGATGAGTAGAAAAAAGGACTAAAGAATGTAACACATGACATGTGAGTATACACAAAGAAATACATACAAATATACAAGAAAGAAAAAATCTTCTAACTAAAGATGTGTAATAGCCAATGCTTATGACTGTGTGACCAGCTCAAATTTAAATCTTCTATTTCAATATACAGGCAATAGTAAATATGTGATAATTACGACTTTAATCATGCTTTCATGCGTAATAGTATACAGAAGACACTTAAAAATAACAATATGCTGATCATAAAAGTTGCAACCTCATCATATGCAATTAGATGCCAGTATGTTTGTCTTTCTGTTGAGTTATTGAATTGAATCTTTCTTTTTTACATCACGTCTTATCGCTAAGAAGATACTGTTAAAAATAAATATTGATAAAATACATAATAATTATGACTGTCACAATAATACAACTAATCGGTTCTAGAAAGATGAAATGAATGCTTACGATAAGATCAAGGCGGCGAAAGAGTCTATTTTCATAATAAATACCAATATTTATTGCAATTAATGGTATAATTGAGAGAATTAATATAAAACTAAATAAACAATAAATATATTATAGCATATATATTGACAACGAATAGTATTGCTCATGCACATGAAAAATTTAGTGAAACATTTTGCGTCTACTTTCATTTCATTGAACTTATCTTGAAGTGATTCTATCGATTCGACCTCTGTCGGTGTTGCATTCATAGACTCGTAATTAAAAAAATAAATGTATTAAAATTCTTTTTTTTATATTTGTCTGTACCACAAAGAACAATATATGATTGTTTACGAATCGAATACGAACGGTTGTTATTCCTCATGATGATGCGTTCCATATTTTTCTCACTTACATTATGGCAAAAAGGAAGAAAAACAAGTCGATTCTATTGTCGTTCTATTTCGCCATCGATGATTCGATTTGATTTAGAGATGTGACAACGGGAAAAAGTGGGAGTACAAGAAAATCTTTTGAAAGTTGCAAAGACGCATATACAATTTTCGAAAAGCATATGAGTATACATTTTGTTCCGATTGTCATATCTCGATTTTGACTTCATATTCAAAACTTTTTTCTTTTTTTGCTTTCTGTTAATTTTGAATACTTAGGATTTACTCAATACACGATGAATAAACGAATTACCACCGAAGTACTACTTTATTCTATCTTTGTCGTTATCACCTTATGTACCAAACAAATTAGATAGTAGGATGTATGCGAGGATTGAAGTTAAATAAGTATCCTTTCTTCTTTACCTGTACTCAGCCCACTCGATATTTATTCATTGTGTTCGATATCGTGTTTATCGAATAGCAAAGGAGGATTTTATCCATCAGTGATAGTTTGATAAGTGCAAAATTATGATTCCGACTTAATTAAAAAACTAGTAATCAACTATTATATGAAATAGTAACGTAACATGACAATCAAGGTATGCATGAGCATTTTCAATATGATTTCATGGTAAAGTTTGATCAATGATAGATTTATGATAGTTTATCGATGTACTTGATATTCACCACTCTCGGCTAAAACCATTATGGTAGTAAATTATTTTCTTTCATGTTTTCCAAATAGAACAGATTTTGATAACCTAATTTTATTATGATGCTTCTCATAATTCAACTATAGCTATTTCAGTTGCAACAATTTCAACTAGGGGTCTCATAGAATTATCTCAATATGTCACACACATCTTCATATGAAAGACAAATTCTTTCACAGTTCTCAATTAATTGCAGCACATTTATCTAGTTCAAAGTATTTTGATAAATGATAATAAAGACTCTAAATTATCTGAATTACTTATTAAGGAAACTCTAGATTCATCATATCCAAACAATCCTTGTGATGTTATTTAATTATTTAATGTTTATTATTTTATACAAACTATTGTACATTTGAGTGAACTTTGTTTATATTACCAACAGAAGACGAATAAAATGTATTTTTGATTTTTGAAAATATATATAATAAATTGTCTGACAGAGTTCGAATTATGTTTTGTTAATATCTTTCAACTTGGTTACCTTTTCTTGAACTTAGTTGAGATGAAAATATCTGGAAGTTATACCCAATAATAAACATAAAATCTTCTGATATATAAATCAAACTTGTTTATAATGTAGTTGTAACATTCCCTGTCTACATAGTATTTAATTGTTAGAATGGTAATTTCTATGTTTAGCGCGACTTAAGTTTCATTTGAAAGCTATTTAAACATTGCAAAACTCCATTATTTTACACAATTAATAATGTTTTACCATCTTCTTGCTTTTTATATTACTTCTGAATGAAATCTCTGTCATGATTTTAGTATCGTTATTGATGAATCTATTCGACAGATGGCGCTTATAGATAGTGGTATAATTATCCTCTTATGAGTGGTATAACTTGTTTCACCAATAGGATATGTTCAATTTTTACCTGACTTACCCTTCTTTTTTGTTTTTTCGTTTTAATCCATATAGAATAGATACAAAGATTTTTCTTGTTCATTTTACTTATTATTTTGTATAATCTACTATTTGCTATTTAAATTTGGCATAAATAATGGCAACAAATCCAATAAATGATGAAGAAATTACATCGAACACCAATGATAAAATTGAAAATTCTTCATTAACAAATGATGAAAATAATTTAAATAATAAAGATAATCCATTCCATTTACTTGAAGGTCGATGGACATTTTGGTATACACACCGGCCAACTACATTTCGCAATAGTGCAGTTAATTATGATTCTTGTTTAAAAAAACTTGGTTTGTCTATATTATCGATTTACTTTCTTACATAAGTTTATTGTATCTTTTTTTTTGTAAAGGTACATTTGGTTCCATTGAAGAATTTTGGTTTTATTATGATCATATGAAATTTTCTTCTGAACTTCCATTTTATAGGTTTGATAGACGAAAATGTTTTTTTTTTTTTGTTTATTGAACATCAGTTTTTCTTCTGATTTCAGTGATATTCATTTATTTAAAGAAAATTTAAAACCAATGTGGGAAGAAGAAGGAAATCGTCTTGGTGGTAAATGGATATTACGATTAAAAAAAGGTTTATCTACACGTTTATGGGAATTACTTGTTTTGGCTGTTATTGGTGAACAATTTAATGTTGGAAAAGAAATATGTGGAATTGTTTGTTCAATTCGACCACAAGAAGATCTTATTAGTGTATGGACGAAAACAGCTAATAATCAATTAGTTACACAAAGAATTAAAGAAATAATGAAAAAAGTTCTTAGTTTACCACAAGATTGTAAGTAGACTTGATCGAAATTAATATTTCAACTATTGAGGACATAGGCGATGGAAATTATCTCGGATATTCTAATGTCTAATAGGTTAGTTTTGTATCACAAAAGTTGCACATCTCAAATCAATTTCTTGTTCAGTTATATATTTGTTTTTCTCGCCCATATTTAGTTACTTTTAACATGGAAACAATTGACATGAACATTCTTAATGTTAAACTTTATAGGAGCATTTTTTGTAGTACACAATCTAAAAGAAGTGTTAAAGTATAGGGATAAAAACTTGACTTCTTTTCTCTCCCATGTGACAGATTTTGATATATGATCACGTACCGTATATGAATAAAGTCTCGTTATAATATAAGAACTAATTTTTTATTGCATTTCTGGAGGATTAACAAAAAAGAATCGTGAAGAAATATGTTCCAAAATAGATAGAATAAAACAATCTTTCTGTCATTTAAATTTGTTGAGTTAGTCCCATATCATTATTACAAAAATCTTGGTCTCCTTAGACTCTAGTTGTCTGAGCAATATGAAGGTTGTACAAGTCACTAGTATCAAAGTACGGTTCAACTGTGTCCAAAAAACTTGAATCCGATAGACTTTGCTTATAGTTAGCAGGAATGGCTATATTATGTTGTACATTTTAAGCTCATAGAGATTGCACTAACAATCTTTTAAAAACTTACAAAGAAAGTTTGGGTATATTCGATTTGTTTATATAAATTTTGTATTCAAGGGAACTACTTTGAAATTTCATGATGCAATAGAAGAGTCTGTGGTCAGTCGAACACGGCTTGTTCAAGCGTGACGGAATCACGTTTTTTCCCAGTATGTATGTTGTATTTCAACCAAATGGAAACCTAAAAGACTGAAACTTTTACAGAAGACGTAAACCTCATTCCTCTACATACCGCGTAAGTTACATTGAGTTTTCTCTTCTTATTTTTGTTGAATGAGCAAAGTTACATGCCGTGACGGAATCACACAAAATGGAACAATATTTTCAGTCCATTATGAAAAAAAGCGAAAATTTAACTCAACGACTAGTTCCCTAACTATAAAAAGGTGTTGAGGCCAACTTGATGTTGCTATACGTCGAAAGTAAGGTTTTCGTGCGTAGGCTGAAAACTCGGTTTACATACGTCACAATTTAGAAAAGATAGATTAGTTTTTCTGTGAAAAATACGCCATGGGAAGGTTACCGAACATCATTCTTTTACTCTTAATTGAATTTTTATGAATCGATTTCATTTTAGGTCCAATAGAATACAAGACACATAATGATTCATTACGTGATAATTGTAGTTATCGTAATACAGATCGTGTTCGGTGAATTAAATTAAATTCTAAGTGATCTACATATTTTATACAGAAAATATGTGTGTAGGTCTTTATTTTCGGTCTTCGAAGCCGACATTATCTTTCCTGTTCTTACTCTTATCTTCCAACTTTGTTTTTCTTTTTTTTTTTTTTTGTATCGAACAAAGTGCAACAACATTTGTTTTTGGTTTTTTTTTCTAATTATAGCTGTTTTTCTTGTTTGTTATTATGATAAAGAACTTTTATTTAAGATGACTGATAATTTTTTTCAAGCAGTAAATCCTTTATGGTATATAGCTTGTGATGGTGGTCTTATAAAATTAGCTATTCTTACATTTTGGCCAAATATAATGCCATATGATTATTTTGGTGTATGGGGTCAATTTATAAAAAATTTAGCATATAATTATCATTATTTACTTGTATTTATTTTTTGGATTGCTATATTTTTACATGTATTTGAAGCAATAGTTGCTCTACGTTTATGTAAAAAATTACATATTGATTTCACTAATACATGTCGATGGTTTCTACAAACATTATTCTTAGGTTATGTTTCATTGGGTATATTAAGACAATATGGAGCAAAAAAACGACGACAATCATAATTGGTAAATAATAGTTTGTAAAAATTCTTTCATTAAAAAAAAATTTGTATACAAGCATAGTTATCTTTGTTTTTATACTAAATCTATGATAATTAGATTTTAGAAAAATATATTACAAATATCGATGCTAATTAAGAAAATGTTATCTATAAAGTAAAGTCTTTATTATCATGCCTTCAATCGGTATCGAGAACAGATGTTTCAATGATTGCTAGTATCAAGTAATACGATTATTGTTGTTACTGTACGATATGAGAATTATGTATGTTATAGTAAGAGTTTAGAGTAAGAATGATAAATTAGTTGAAAGTGGAAGATCTCTAAAAATTTCTCTGTCTGGAAGTTTTGTAAGACGATATTTCATATCGAATTTTTAGTGAACTCTACTTGTAGGGCTATAATATTAAGCGACATTATACTTTTAATTTTTGATTTGAAACTTAGCTCATATTAAGACATCGATAAGAGTAACTAGTAGACAACATGTCAGAATTGTTTCTCTGAGATATGAGTTTTTTTAAAATATACGTATCTCAAAAATATTCTGAAATTTTTTCTACCAATCAGTCTAATTGGCATTCTTATATGAGATATCTTAGTAAAAAAGGCTCAAATGCTCGAGTCACCCTAGAATAGTAACTAATCATTAGACTCTATCGATTAAATCTAGTTTCACCTCGAAAATAATTTATTACTTGAAGACCTTTTCTCGTTAATATCGTGCATACTTTTTCTTATATATGTATCTCTATTAATATCAGAAGCCAAAAAGAGGTATAGGGCAAGATATTTTTTGCATGTCCAACTTATGTACAACAGTTTATATATTCTTATTAGGATATTATTCGAATATCATATCATTGAGTTAGCTGATGTACTTCAATATTTATTCTCGCATGAAGTATTACAGTATTTTGTACTTCTAATCTTTGATTTTCGAATAATGATTATTGCACATCATTATGGAATAAAAATTGCTCGACATATTTGTCAAAAGCTTAATATAAATAAAGAATTTATACTTTTGTGGATAATACAAACATTTACTTTAAGAATTTTTCTTTTCTTTTATTTCATATGAATTTATTTATTTTTCATTGTAGGATTTCTTGTATTGACTATACATTGGACATCTAATTAACAATATAAATAATTGACTTAAGTTTTGTTGAATTTTTCTGTAATTTGAAAAATTTATTACTATTATTTCATCTTTAACTAATTACAGTGATAGATTTAATAAATATTTTATTTTAGATAAAATATGTCATCATCATCAGGTAATCAACACGAACAAAAAACATCAACAGTTAATTTATCTGATACTGAATGGAAAAAAAAATTATCTGATGAAGAATATCGTATATTACGTAAAAAAGAAACAGAATATCCTGGTACGGGTAAATATAATAAACATTTTGAAACTGGAACATATAAATGTGCTGGTTGTGGACAAGAACTTTATGAGTAAGTTTTAATAAATGAAATTAATTTTGAATTCGTTTGAAAATAATCTAGAAGAATGAAAAATTTGTTAGATATTATTTTTTACTCTTAGATTTTAAAATTAAACGTTGAAATTTTCGATTAAAATAGTGTTAGATTATATAGCTCTCTTTTTCAAATTTTCACTTTTTTTTCGGAGAAAATGGATGACAAGTTCATCATGAAGTTTCTTTCAAAATTCTAGAATGCACTAAAAGACAAATATGAATAGAAAAAAAAAGCGCAAAAAATCATCAAGTTCAACAGTTTTAGTAACATTAGAAAAAGAATTTGTATGAATTAACAAAAATCTTTTTTCGATTCTCATTGAAAACAATTTCTTAATCCTGTCAACGTTAGTTTATTTGTTTTGAACAACAACAACAAGTATAATGTCTCTTTAGTTATATTCAGAACGAGTATGACATTCTAGTTTTAATATATAGTTTTTCAGTCATCTAAATTGTTTTTGAAGAGACAAAAAAAAAAAAACTTTACATTATTTGTTAACTAGAAAGATTTTTTTTTGGTGTTTAGTTCATCATCAAAATTTGATTCTCATTGTGGTTGGCCAGCATTTAGTTCATCATTAGGCACAGCAGTTCGACGTCAAAAAGATGAAGATGGTTATCGTGAAGAAATTTTATGTGCTAATTGTAATGGTCATTTAGGTTTGTATCATTCGATTATTCATACTATAATAAATGAAATAACTTTTTATTTGACGAAATCGAACCTAAGTTTTCATAACAACCAGTTTCTGTTTAGTTGTTAGAAAAGTTCTCATCTAATATGTTATCATAAATTTCTATTCTCGCTTTGATTGATCTATTCAAAACATATTGGAAAGTTTTATTTCCAAAAAAAAAGAATTTTTGAAGATAAAAATGATTGAGAATAGGGATTCTGAAAAACCAAAAAAACGAAGTTTTTTCATCACTATATTTTTGCTCGATATTAGATATGGACAAGATGATTCCAGTCCCATAATTGAATTACTTTTTACCGAGACTAGGATCAACACTTTTTTTTATTGGAAGTGGTATCTTATTATTGACATTGCGGATCGAAACTAATTGGTCCCACTCATTTCCTAACCGCACTACACCAACTTCACAGGAACACACCATTTTTATTCCTTCTGGAAGGTTGATGCATTTCGTTCAAAAATGTCTCATTCTAAGTAATTCAAAAAGAGTTCCATTAGTAAATTTTCGGAGCTAAAAACTTGGTTTTTAATGTTTTCGAGGATTAGGTCTTGGAAAAACAAGCAATCATCTTTATCTTCAAATAATTGTTTTTTTTTAAAACTATACAAATCACTATGTAAAGTTTTCTTAGTGTTTATAATAACAGTAAAAGATTGAAAATAAACTTTAACAAAATGATTTTGGAAGGCACTCGATGTTGTAAAAATAACTTAAGTCATTGTATTGATTCAACTTTAGATCTAATTTGATCTTTAAAAAATTGTAATGAATAACAAGAACTGATAGAAAAATCAAATAAAAATTTGCAAGTTATTACTCATTGGTAATGTATAATATTTCGTATTGCTTTTATTTTATTGAGAAAATTACTCTTATGAATCTGTTAATCATCGAATGAACTGTAATGATGTTTTCATATTAGTATACTGAAATTCTCTAATTAGAAGCTAAAGGGTAATATATATATATATAAATGAGAATATATTATATAAAAATTTTTAAATCTTATCTATCGTTTGAAAAATCTATAAATTTTTAGGTCATGTCTTCGAAGGTGAACGATTACATGATACAAATGGAAAATTAATTCAAGAACGTCATTGTGTTAATTCTGCTTCATTAAAATTTGAAAAGAAAAATTAATCTATTAAATGAGAAAGACTTTTTGTTTTTTTTTGAATGTAATTAAATATACATTTTCTTAAATTGTGTGGTGTTTCTTTTTTTAGATGACTCTAGAAGAAAATTCTATAAAAATAAAAAAGAAAAAAAAACAATCAAAAAAATTATTACCAAAAAATGTTTTTGAAATAGTTGGTGAAACTGGACAAACTATTGAACGAGTTGATTCAAATAGTACAAAGAAAATAGTTGAACAATTAGAAGAAACTGAACCTAAACCAACATTTAGTGAACGTACAAAAAAACGACGAGTAAAACATTTAATATTATAAAATTTAATTTAATGAAAAATTTATGTCTTGGTTTTTGTTCTGTAGAGACGCGAATGGGACGCAATGAATTATGAACCATTTGATATAACACGTGCTCGTGATTATGAACGTTCATTACAACGAATAGCTACACGTGGTATTGTTCAATTATTCAATACAGTTCGAAAACAACAACAAAATTCATCATCATCATCAACAATAACGAAAAATAAAAAAGAAAATACAATAAATAAAGGAGAATTTCTTGATATGCTTAAAACAATTGATTCTGATGAAGTCTCTTGCAAAATTATGAAAAAAAATCAATCTACGGTAAATAAATTTTCAAAAATAGAATAAAACATATTAAATTTTTAATCAAAAAAACAAAAAAAATTTCATTTCAGACTGAATCAACAACAAAAACAACACCAGTCAGATGGAATGTTCTTCAAGATGATTTGATGGCGAGTGTTAAAGATGATGATGATGATGATGATAATGATGATTGATTTTTTGTTTTTTGATATTCATAATAAAATATGAATAAAAATTTGTTGAAACAAATTAAATATTACGATAAAATATGAATATTATGAAAAATTATCTCAATAGATTGTTCATATAAATGAAGTTCTGAACGATAAAAAAAAACTGTAAAGACTTTGATCAGAGTTGTGTTCAATCGGTTGAAAAATATTTTATAGATATGCCATTTTTCCTTTCACAAAAAATTTGTTGAAAGCAAGTTTACATGCGCTTATCATTAGTTTTATTTCTTTAATTGAAGTATATTTCATTTTTTAATAAGTATTACTTGAGCTAAACTTATATCATACATGTTTTATTAAAGATCAAGTTTAGGTTTGAATCGTTGATCGAAGAAAAACATTAGGTTTGTCTATAAGCGCTGAATAAGAAAATTCAAATATGAAGTTCTGCAATGAGTTGATGGGTAGATGACTATGTTTTTTGAGAAATCAAACAGATATAAATGAGTGTAACATGATATTTCTTTTTGAAACTTTGTAAAAATCTGATTGAAAAATAGGAAAATGAATGTTTTTTTACAAAGCTATTTGCATTAATTGACTGGTAATGACCCAATAAATAGGTCAGTTTTTGCAGATTGTTATCGATCTAAAAGGTTTTTAGATCGAGCCATTTACAACGCTGGTCTTGATCTTAAAGTTTATTGGTTCTCTTTCGTTTTGTCATTTGTGTCTATATTGCTTCATTTATTTCATAGCTGGAATTTAAATTCTTTGGTTAAAGACTATATAGTATCGTAATGCACGTATTCACTTCTCGTGTTTCGAACTGAATGTAATAGCAAAAAAAAAACTTGTTTTTCAGTACTTAACTTATGTGATGAAGCTTGATTTCATTTAATACATGAGATTGAAAGAAGAACTCGAGTAGAGTCTTTTGTTCAAAATTATCTTCTCTTCAAAAAGGCTATTTTGCAGCTTGAAAGAAAATATGTTTATCTAATAATTTCAGCTAATCAAACTTCAACTTGAGAATATTTAATAATTAATTACTTTAAAAGTGTAATGAATGAATTATTCTATTCAGCTATTTTAATATTAATGAACTTTACAAAATAACTTTTTAAAGTTAATTTATAATTAAAACCATTTATTAAATTCTATTTTCTATTACATTAATTAGCCATAATATAATTGATAGAATTCTTCTTCAATAATTAGAAATATCTATATCAAAGTCAACAGTAACTCAATCTTTCTTAATTCATTCACTTTATGCATTAATTCTTGACAATCTAATCAATATATACTTTGATGAATAATCTAGATTTTCTTGATGACAATTTCTTGGATAAATCAACATAGTAGGTAGTTTTTTTCAACTTAATAATGTCATATTAGTCTTATTCGTTGATGTTTAGAAATTGTGTTCTTTGTATCTTTTAATAACTAGATGAAATCTGCATTAGTTTCAGCATCTATCACATCGATGAAAATTTACTATTATTATTCACAGTTGTTATTGAATTTACATCTAATCTTGGTATGACTATTAATGAAAAACACATTTCTTTATTCAATTTGTTTATATTGAGAAATCGATGAAAAACTAACTTATGTTTCGTCAGGCGCCTTATTTTAATACAAAAAATATCCATATTTAGAATTTTATGTACGTTAGCTTTGCCTATTATTTTCATGCATATTCATATCATCTACAAATAGTACTATTAGTCATCTATAGAATTCTGTTAATTAGTAAAAAAAATATGGCAACAACTATCCATTGATGGATTATGATTAGTGCTAGCGATAATTAATCGTTGCAAAGAATAGTGCTTAGTCTCACTTGGTAAGGAAAAGAAAGTTCATATTGAAAATTGAATCAAATTATACAGATCTCAAATGATATTTCAACGAGTATCAAACATCATGTCATTCTCGAAATCATCGCATCACAAAATATGAAGTTTGGATGTAGAATTTGAAAAAGAAAAAAAAATATCTTAACTGACCGCTATAACGTACTTCGTATCTAAAGAAAGAATTGATTTATCTTTTGAACTTCTGATGACGGAACTCTCTTTTAATTATGCGGTTAGTTTCCAAGCAACATTAAAGGATAAAACAGTACATGTAATCAAGTGAAAAAGAAGGAGTTGTGAGCTTAGAGTTTTAGAAAAAAACCATAGAATCTTTATAACCAAAAATCTTATGAAACCAAACAGACATCCGAAAAATGATGTAGAATTCTAAAATCATTGTTGTTTCAGAAAGTTTCGATTACTGCTGAAGTTTCACAAAGAATTATGTAAGGTGTTAAACGACTCTATTCTACTCTGCATGTACTGAACTACATGATGTTGATTGAAGGCTAATATAATTTGTTATGTTCCTTTGATCTATATACCCGTTTTCACACTTCTATAAGCAAATCTACATTTTTTTCTTATCTTTGTAGCAACTCCGTCATCAAAGGATTCATCATATATCTAGTCTCGTTGTATCTTTATGTTTATTAATTTCTTTTTTTTATTTAAAAACTTTTCCATTAATTGATAGTACTGATTCAAATATTCATCATTGTTTTAACTAATTTTTTTTATTTCGATCATTATTAGCTTAATTTTTATTTAACATATAATGAAACTTCAATCGTCAGCATGATTCAAAAAACATCTTATTCTATTGACAATGACATCTTATTGACGTCATTAAAACTTCGCACAATATATGATAAAAAATTAGTCAACTGAATTCATAACAAACATTAAATATAATTTGACTCATAATGAATAAGCTATACAATTCTTTTTGATTCTCGGATAGTTTTCAAGGGCAAGATAACACAACAAATATCTTCTTTTTTTCCTTTTTTGTTCGACTGACGACATACAAAGCACGTGTCTTATGATTATTCTCTCTGGAGTTCGCCACCAATCAACGATCATGACGTTATTTTTCTCGTCTTCCTTTTTCTTCGCCCATTTTTCTTCTCTCAAACAAACGTCACTATTAAACAGAGTGAAGTATGTTGATTCAAGGCAAAAGGAGAAAAAAAAACATCATATAAGCTAATGCGAACGCGTTGAAGTATTGTGTATGCATCATAAGTGACGTAGAACGCAAGACAACACGACACAAACAGAGAAAAAAAAATGTATCCAAACATCAGCTCTGGCACAACACAACCGTCAGCGCCGCCACCGCCTTCTTCGACATCAATATCAACATCAACAACTTCAACCTTAACAAATTTAACTTCTCAACAAGCAGTTGGATTCTCTAGTTTAATGTCTCAACCATCCAATCAAAACGCGCCACATACCGGCGGACAATCATCACAACCTCCTTATCCAACAGGTCCTCCATCATCACAACCTTCTTTTCCAACTGGTCCTTCGTCGTCATCTTTTAATAATCCATATCCATCAGCTAATCAACCAGCAAATACAAGTAAATATTCAAGTTATTCTCTTCCACAACCTGGAAATCAACCTCCACCATCTCAAGGTTAATAAATGTTTTATATAAAGATAAAAGATACGAAAAAATTGTTTCAATGGCGTTTTTTTGTAGGTGGTGCTAGTTATCAACAAGGTCCTTATGCACAACAACCAAATCCTTATCAAGCTTCAAATCCATCTGCTGGATATCCACCTGGTCAACAACCACCACGTCCAACAGGTCAGTCGAAATTCAAATAATATTTACGTTTATTTTCAATTATAAAAAATTTAAATTTTAAATATGTTTTATTCAGGTTATCAACAGCCATATGCTCCATCAAATCCATATCAACCACAGCAAGGTAAACGTATTCTGTTTAATTGAAAAAAAAAACAATAATTCAACTGAAACTATTCGGTAATAAAAGATGTTTCATAAAATTTCTGAATCTCAACAATAATTAGTTTTGTACGTTAATCAATAGTATTTTCTATCAAATTATATCCATATCAGCTTCTAATTGTCAAAACAATGTTTTCAATGTAACGTAATACAATTCTACAAAGCAATACGTCGTATCAACAATGTGGGTGTGACTGTCTTCTATATCTAAACCTTATTTTTTGCGTTTCTTCTATTTTATAGTAGTATCATAAAAAACGGCAATGTTATCGAATAATATGTCGTTTAAAATGTTGTCTTAAGTACTTGAAGCTGATATGGATGCAATCGAGAATGAGACACTCTTTATTTAAATATAATCTAATGTTCGTTGAGGCTTAGAATTTATGAGACATTCTTTATTGTTAATCCTAATTCTTATCCATCAAAACAAAGTAAAACAAAAAAAAATTTTTTTTTTTACTAGGGATATAAATCATAAAATAATTCCCTAATCGATTTATCTAGAACAATCTTTAATAGAAATTATTCTGTTTGGAAGAGTTTTTTAATTGTATCAGAGAATAAGCATTTTTTTTGTTGTTGATTCAGTTGAAAAATAACGAAATTTTTTATTTGTTCAAAGAAAAAAAAAAAAGAAAACTTAAATAAAAATTTCTATTTCAGGTAATACCGGTTATCAAAATCCATATGCACCACCAAGTTCCTATCCACCACAACAAGGTAAATATTCTTTAAGTATTTATTCAAGAAAAAAAATAATCTATTTGATTCTTAGGTGGTTATCCACCACAACAGCAATATCAAAATCCATATGGTCAAAATCCTTATGGTCAAAATCCTTATGGTTCAAGTGCTCCACCACAACAATCATATCAAAACCCCCCTTATGGTTCCAATCCTCAACAACAACCATCATATCAAACTCCCTATGGTTCAAATGCTCCACCACAACAATCATATCAAAATCCTCCTTATGGTTCCAATCCTCAACAACCTCAAGGTAATATTACACTTTATGATTGATGAATAGTATGTGAGAAGCTTATTTCTGCTACAAAAAAATTCTTATAATAATAATGCGCTCATTTTGCTCAAAAATTTTTTTTCCTAACAGGTGGTTATGGTAGCTATCCTCCATATAACCAACCACCACAGCAATATCAAAATCCTTATGCTTATCAATCACCAGGCTAGTGCTTTTCTTCTTCATATTTAATCATTTTCTTTTTATTTCTTTAATTTTTTTTTTAATTTTTTTTTTTTTCTTTATAGCTGGTGGATATAATGCAAGCTCATATGGATCACCAGCTAGTAAGTTATTTTCTAAAATAAAATAAAAACAGAATATTTTATTAAAATAAAATATTTAGCGAATGATCGTCTTCGAGCAATAGCTGCTCGTTATGAAATAAATGATACACTTGCTCAACGTCTTAATATTCTCCAACAATTTGAAATAGTTGTACTTTGTGATGATTCAGGTTCAATGAATACACCAGTTGATGGAACAACAGGTACTCGATGGGATGAATTACGATCTATCGTACAAATAGTTATGGAACTTGGTACTGTATTTGATTCAAATGGAATTGATGTACATTTTCTTAATCGTCCATCAATGCCTAATGTAACTGATGCACGACAAGTTATTGAATCATTTAGTCAACGTCCAGGTGGATTAACACCACTTACAGCAGCTTTAAGACGAATTTTTCAATCACAAGCAAGTAAACCTGGTAGTGATAAACGTTTACTTGTATTTGTAGCTACAGATGGAGCTCCAACAGATCCAAATGGAAATGTTGATGTACAAAGTTTAGAAAATTTAATGCGTAATGAACGTCAAGCCAATACAACATATGTAACATTTCTTGCTTGTACAGATGATGAATCAAGTGTAGCTTATTTATCACAATGGGATCGTACAATGATGAATGTTGATGTTGTTGATGATTATAAAACTGAACGAGAAGAAGTACGTCGTACTCGAGGTTATAATTATCCATTTTCATTTGGAGATTATGTTGCAAAAGCATTACTTGGTGCAGTTGATCCACAAATGGATCTTTTGGATGAATCTGGAAATAATAATAATAATAATAATTTTCGAAGGTATTAATCGATTATAAACTTTATCTTATCTTTATGTCTCTTGTTGAATTAATTAATCAAACCAAAAAAAAAAGTTTTCTTTTTTCTTAATAATAAATAAAGAAGTACATTATAAATATCTTGTTATTATATGAACTGGATGTTTCTCTTTTTTTTTGATTTTTATGGATGTTTTTGGCTTATATCTTTGAGTTATGAACATCGATTTTTGAGTGTCTATGCGATTGCCTAATGAAATAATGCAAATAGTTTTTCAAATCAAGAATAATTTTCATGACAACTTTTTCCTTAATATTCTGACAGATGGAAAATATTGACAGAAAAAAAAATTTACGTCAACTCGTCAATTAGAAACTCATTGAAAACTTCTGGTTGACTTAAAGGTTTTTCTATTAAAGTTCAGAAAATACTTCAAGATAACATAATTTCTTTTTCTTTTTTATTCAGGATTTAATTTCAGTAAGAAGAAATGCATTACAGAAAATCTATTTATAGTGTACCAAAAATAATGCGATTGATATTATGTAAAAGTGAAACATTTCTGTCATCGGTAAAACTCGAGTAAAGGTACGCCAGAAAACCGCATTAGTAAATTCGTTCAGAATTAATGATACATCATCAACTCAACTTCGAAGAATTCTGTTTTCTGCCTCTGTACTACCTTACTTTACGTGGTTGTTCGGAATTTATCCCTTATTCACTGAGAGGCAGTGCACGGACCTTAATCATCTATATTTTACGCTGTTAAAACGTATATCTTCGTGCCAATGCTGGTATGACTTTGTCTTCTCGTCTATTTATAATGAAAAATCGTTGGATGATCTCTGCTTCGGATATTGGAAAAAATATGCAAAGGCACTATCGAAGTCAAGGGATGGATCCCTGTTATTGGAACAATCAGAGTTAAATTCTCACAGATCAGCTTGGCAGATGGGTACACAACGTGTTCGCTGTCTGCATAGATCCAAAAGATTTGTATCCCACACAGACGTATTAGGTCAAGTGTTCAACTGGATGACAATGCAAGGTTCTGCTGACTCAGTTGTAGCACACAAGGAAGAAGAACTACTATCTTTTGCTATGTTTCCGGAAAGTTTTTTTTATAAGAAATCTCGTTTCAAGTGATTATAGGTCACGATGACAAAAAAAGAAAGGAACTAGAGAGAGGGAGAGAGAGAAAGAGGAGAAAGGAGGGAAGAGATAGTAAAAAGAAAAGAAAAAAACATAAATAGAGGGAATACAAACAATGTAAAGCAGCATGCCAGTGATAAAGAATAAAGTATGTGCAGAAAGACAAGGAAAAAAAAGAGGATGAGGGAGAGAATGGTACCTAGCTTGGTTTTCGTTCTTCTTTTCTTTTTCTACTTCATTTCGTCTTATTGTTTCATCATATTTTCCTTTTTATTCATGTCTTTCCTTTTAATCATGTCTTTCTTTTTACTTATCATAAAGTATGGTGCAGCTAAAGTGTCCCTTTAGGACCGATATGGTCATAGAGCTTGATTGCTTAATAAAAAAAAAAGAAAAAAAGTGAAACATTTCTATTCATATACATTGGTTAACGGCATCTCGATCTTTGAATCGATAAGACAAATTTTCATTGCGACATTTGAGATCATATTACATTTCATATCAAGAAGTAATAGGTTTTCATGATGAAAAGTATTCATTTTACATTGATCAAGTTTCATTTTACAATAAAGACGAATGAGATGTAAGTGGAAACTAATATGAGCAATGAAATTATCCAATAAATCATGTTTGAATATCTAAAGTAAAAAAATGTTGCTGCTTGGCAAATATTTATCTTGTTGACTAACACTTTACTGCTGACGTGAGCAAGTCAGAAAAGGTCAATAAGATCTAACAAAACTTGAATCTAGAAGTTTAGGCAAGTCATCCATTGCACGTCCAACCAAAGATATAATTGATAGCAGCCACTGGTCAATCCGATATCGATTCTGTCTCTGCATCCAGCTGAAAGCAGCTCTGTCTTAAAAACATTGTTTATTATCGTATTCGACACAACAGGCTATCTGGTCGTTCAGCATATCAAGCGAAAATCAATGATTGATCGGTATTTTGACATCGATAATCGTTTACAATCCTTAATCAATAAACTAGAGAAAGAGAACAGAATCAAATACTTGTGCTGTTAATTTTCACTACAGTTATGTCATAGTAAAATATTAATAAAAATGTTTACAACTATCTCAAATCGAAAATTATTACAACTATTCAATAACCGATAGATTCTCTAGATGCGGTATGATGTTATTTTTGATTATTTGATTTCATCAAATAAAATCCAACAGATGAATGCAACTTAGAAGTCTTATACTGTGTCATAACCAATATACCTAATTTATTGAGTAAAGATGACTTTGAAAAATCTTCCAATAGTTAGCTCAACGAAACACAATTACGTGTAAACAATCATGGAACTACAAATGCGAACAATTGCGATCTAATAAAATCTTGCTTAGCTTGTTTTCATTACATTTATTTTCTTCAAAATCTCATTCCTTTCCGATTCCATTCCATGCAAAGTTTTGAAAATGTCTCATGGGACAAACGTCTTTCACACCAATCTTTTTTTTTTATTAAGAACAACCAAATTGTTTCGAATTAGATGTCTTTCTCGTCAAAATATGAACTTGATTATTGTAAAGTTACAATTTGATGAGCATGAAAACCCATCGCGTCCCACATTTGACAGAAAATTTTTAGGACATTACCATTTCACATACGATAATTCGCGATAGCTTATGCTATGGGATGATTGTTTTTAGTTTCATCCCATCCCATGCAAAGACCTGGCATTTACATGTGAAGAAAAAAACACCAAAAGACAATAATTATATGTACTAGAGTACTGCCGAAAACGATTATATAGTAAAAGGGACCTGGCCAGTTTCTATACCATCCTATGATAAATTTTTCAACAAGTTAGTATAGTAAATATTTAGAAACATTTCGGATATTCTGAACTCAGTATATACACTAGGGCCTCTAATATAAATACTTGAAGTTGATATGGAAGGAACAAGATAAAAATCCGAGCTTGAATAAATTTCACATTAAGTATCTAGAAAGCAAATGAATATGTATCTGCAACTATGGTATAATGAAGAAAAGTGAGCAGTAGAGAACATGCAAATACCTGTTTATTTTTTTTTTGTTGATATTTTGATGATTGAGATTATTTTGATTACCATATAGAAGGACACAAAGATTTTATTTCTGAAGGGTAAACGCCCTATTTTCAAATATATTTCAAAAAAACCTCTTGATCAATGCATACAACAGTGTAAAACAGTTAGCTAATTGGGACTTAACATTGATGAAAATATGAAGTTAAAGAAAAAGAAAAGAGTGAATTATATTTTAATCTTACTAAATTGCTCCAGAGAAGCATTCAAGTATAGTCCGATTAGCAATAATAAAGTCAATAATTATCAGTCTAAATAAAAATTATCGAGACATGTTGCGGTATAATTTCAATTTTTTATCATTGTATACTTTTCTCGAGTCACAGGAGAAATAGTTTAAGTAAAACTTGATGGACTCTTGTGAAAACATACTATCTGATAATGATATTTATTGTTTTTCTCAAATAAAAATTAAAACGAAAGTATTTTACGAGTCTTTACTTTTTCTTCTTTCTTAATCAATTCTCGCGATTAGTTTTTCATTGTGTTGAAGATAATCGAACTTAAATTTCTTGCTTATTTAAAATTGAGAAGTTCAATTTTTCGTAGATGATTCAATTTAATTAAATCAAACAATAACAATCTCATTTCATGATATTACAAGAAAAAAAGATTTTGATTATTCATCATCATCATCACATAAAGATCTAAGCGTAATTTTATTTTTTGCAACTTGCACAACCATATTGTAAAACAAGTAATGACTTTGCACTTGTTTTTTCTTTGGCAAGTTTACCTATTTTTTTTTCTTGTTCTTACATATGCAATTGAAAAACATTAGACGCGTCCTTCGTTCAACATAACATTCTAATGCATGCAACAAAGTTAGCTAATATCGGTATTAAGTATCTTAGTGATTTACAATTAGATGATCTATATCAATTACAAGATGAATTAAATACATTATGGAAAAATGGTCAATCTACAATATCAAATAATTTATATGATAAAATAGTTGATAGTATTAATTATGAAATAACACAATTAAAGACTGATCCATATAATTATGCTGTTATAAAGACTGATAATGAATTAAAAAAACTTATTGATTATTTAACTGCATTACATTCTCAAGGAAAATCTCCTATTGAAAATTCTGTATGGGATATTCTTAATCATGAATTGACCATGCGAAATGTAATTAATTTTAATTCATCATTAACATATCCTTCATATTGGACAACAATGTCATTAAATGAAAATCCTATTCAATTTATAAAATTATCTCGAATATCACAAGAATTTCAAGATGTATCAAGTTTTTTTACAAAATCTCTTCAAAAATCATCAATAGTTATTTATTCAATAACTCGAATACAAAATCTTCGTCTATGGTATATTTTTCAAGAATTACAAAAAATAATTCCTAATAATATTCAACGTCTTTTTCATGGTACAGCTTCAAGTACACATCAAAAATTAATCATGTATCATGGTTTTTATTATAGTTTTTGTCCTGGTGGTCTTATTGGTGATGGAGTTTATTTTGCAGTAAATGCACATTATTCTAATAATGATCCATATGTATTAAAAAAAACAAATCATCGAAGAGAATTATTTATTTGTCAAGTTTTACTTGGCAATTCAAGTCAAGGTGGCTCAGGTATTAAATCATCAGCACAAGGATGTCATTCAGTATTTCATTATAATAATAATCAAAATGATATGTTTTGTATTTTTAATAGTTATCAAGCATATCCAGAATATATTGTACAATATGATTATGAATAAATGATTTTTTGTTTTTCAAAATATTTTATTAAAATAATAAATCTTTGATATCTGTGAATAATTAAGGGAATTTTTAATGATAAAAATTTTCGAATATGATATTTTGAAGTTGTTTTACTTTTGATGTAGATTTAAAGAACAAACAACTTTTTCTGAGACTTTCGATTTCAGCCAATTGATCTAAGGTCATCCGTAAAAGCAACTAGAGAGGAACCATTCACTATACTGATCGAATTGTGATATTTATTCTTAAACTCGAACTCATCGTTACACGGAGACAGACTGCAGAATCCTTAGATAAATCAAAAGGAAAGAATTTTTCTGATTGATTATTCTTATTACAAGTTTAAAATCAAAGAAAATGACCTTAGAAAATTGCTTTTGAAAACTTTCATCAACAACTCACCTTCTTGTTCAATTTTTGACTAATCAAACTTCGATATTATTCTGTCAAAATTAAATTGAAAAAAAAACATTGGAATATATGAAATTTTGAAATGGATAGTAGTTAAACTAAAATTTTCATTTCGTATGATTTAACTGTAACGATTTTACAAACAATATTTTTCGTTCTGAACAAAATATTTTCATTTGAATGTGTCGCTAAAATAACAGACCTCTCGCCAGCGAAATTTTCTCTTTGGAAGTTTGTTATTGAAAAGACTTATCACTAAACAAAAGAAGGTGATCCTCTGTTGTTAAACTGTAGTTCAATCTTCTTTGAAATTATAATTATTTTCATTTTTTAAAAAGATATAGCACTGTCAGGTATTTAAAAAAAAAGAAAATAAGACCATTTTCTCTCTGTTTTCGCACGAAAATTGCTTGACTTTTATCATCATTCAAAATAAATAAAATCTATTCATGCGAAATATATCAATACCTAAGAGAAAATATCGAATAATTTCGATCATTTTATATTCTAGAAACCTTCTGCTCAACTTTGACCAGGCACCGTGTCTTTTTTTTTCTTACTATTCTTAAAGAAATAAGATTTCAGAAATATTCCTTAAATAATGTTAAAGATTTTTTGTTTTCAAATAAATTTGTATCAAAGCCTTTCACGCATTCTGCATCATTTATATTAGCTTTGAATGATAATATAAAAAAATGTAATCCCAGCCTCATCAAGTCCAATAAACAATACGACAATAATATTTTTTCAGTATTTGAGAAGTCGAATCTCATAGTACATAACACCGTACAATAGGAAAAATATTTTAAAGGAGAAAAAAGTCAGTGAAATTTAGTTTGACATAACATTTATGCTCCTTCACAAACCGTTAAAATACAGAATAAAATTATAAAGTGCTGTTTTTTTTTCATCGAAATGTCATATTATCTTCCGAAATATTACTAGAAAGTTACATGTGTCGATTCAACGTACTATCTTTGATTCTTTGTTCACTGTTGATATTGAATCATATAATCGGTTATGAAGCCGTTTGTAATTGTTCACCTAGAATGTGTTGCTCACGATGGAATTATTTTGGTACTAGTGTTGAATATTGTGGTGTTAGATGCCAAGCTGGAAAGTGTTGATCAAATGAATCAGGTTCAAATAGACAAAAACCATTACGTAGTAATTTATTTCATGGTCGATGCACGTATTATTATATTCAAGGTGAATATACAGCATGTGGTATACGACATAGTGATAGCGAATATATAGCTGCTTTGAATGCTCCTCAATTTGATGTACATACATCAAATGGAAATCCAAATCGAAATTCATTATGTAATCGTAGAATTCAAGTAAAAGGTCCTCGAGGTTTGATTGTAGTTCGAGTAGTAGATCGATGTTCAAGTTGTTCTCATGGTAGTTTAGATTTATCACCTGCAGCATTCAAAGTTGTCGCTGGAAGTCTCAGTGTTGGTGTTGTTCAAGTTTCGTGGTATATAGAATGACGTTTTTTTGTTTATTTGTACTTGTTTTAGTATCATATAAAGATATTTTATTTTTGTCTCTAATCAATTCGTGAAAAAAATAAACAAGAATACACAATATATTTTAAGTAACTCATTATTTAGTATCGCAATATCTGAAAAGTGAAGACGGAATGATTTGAAATTGATTTTAAGTGCGAGATCAAAATATTATAATCCCATATTCAAATATTCAAATTCATAGTACACAGCATCAATTTTATTAGAAGAACTGATCAAATCTGATTGTTTGAAAGATAAATGTTTCTGTTGAATATTAAGCGAGTGTTGTTATGAATTCAGAGTTTCTAAATATCTCACTTACTATATCAATCTTACTACACAATGTCGCCAAGCACTTTCCAATTCTTGCCGATGATTATTTGAAATTTTTATCTTACTGATTGAAGAAAATCATGAATGAACTATTCATTCATATTAACAAATTACTTATTTGCTATAAAAGAATTTCATCATAAATTTAATTTTTACTGATTCTATGTATTCAATTCGATCAAACGATATACACTGCAAAATTATGTCTATTTAAAAGATTTCACATGTATATCGACGAAATTTCCTGATACCACTTAATTCATACTTTTTGTCTTTGCAATGTGTCACTATTATAATTAATATTTTGAGTACGAATAATGGTATTCAAACTTATTCTATGTGTTCGTGATTCTATAATGCAAACATCCCTGGTCTAAACGACACTATATCGTAATGCTGATCAAAATACACCCGTCTATTGCTTACTTTTATTTTCATGTTACCTCAGCTGAACTTTTCATTTACTATGTTTACTGAACTATTGTTCAGAATATTTGTAATCGATCAATGAAACGCGATCATCAACAACTATCTATCACTGCATGTATGTTAACCAGTATTGTCTTACTTCTATGATAACAGCCATTTCTGTTTGTTTAATGGTTTCAGTCATCAATTGCTAGTTTATTGATTATGATTATATTTTCATCAAAACTTTCAATTCCAATTGTTGAATAAATAATTAATATAAATTACATTATATATATGTATATTTTATTTTATTTTTTTTATATATGCCTATACTTTTGTGCTATTTATTATTTCAATAAAATTGTACTAAGCAATAGAGTTTTGAAAAAAATCTCAAAACATCTTGAAGAATGATACAGATACGATTATATTGTATTTCAAGGAGATTCAATAAAAAAAAAGAAAACTGTTATTTATTTGTATACTAAACTAGGCAAGAGATGATAAGAATGAAGATGGCTTCAAAACTTTTAGACAATACTTAATTCTTATAACAGTTTACTTAATAGTTAAAGTGATATCATAAAAACAAATAATATGCTCAATAACTATTGTCGCGGACTACTTAATATCCTGTGTTTTTTTAATAGGATTTAAACGTATATCTCGAACGATACAACCATAATCATCAATGTCGCTTCTAGGTTATTCAAAATATTATCAAAAAATGAATGACATTTATATGGTAAAAGTCATATGGTTTGATCTTTCATTTATTAAAGTGTCAGATATCACAAATCAATACGTGAGTTGTATATTTTCGGAGGACAAGTGACACACATAGTTCACATGATCAACAAGTTGAATAATAAAAAAAGTCATTGATGATTTTTATTCTTATAGATAAATAATCAAAACCTTTCTAAACATCTAGTTAACTGTTTATATTTGAAATTTCTTTTTTTGTCATAAAATCTTTGACCTTCTTTCAATGAATTTCTCGATAATGATTGATTGTCATATATAAGTATAAAAATGAATAAATACATAAACGACGTGAGTAACATAAGGAAAAATACAAATTTATGACTTGTTTTAATACTTTCTATGCACGTCAAGAATAGAATTGATCATTTTCATTATAAATATCTTTCTCTCTATTGATCTTTTTTATTTTTGATATTAGTTCGAATAATTTCATTTTTTCGATACATTCTTTAATTTAGAAATGTTTAGACATTCATCTATTGCTATTGCTTGTTTTATTTTACTTAGTAAGTTAACAAGTATGAAAAAGATAGATAATCAAGATGAATATATATTTTTTTAGCTTGGAATCCAATGATAGATGGTCTTGCTTGTTATTCATGTAACATTACAAACTGTAGTGATCCATTCAATGATTATTTTGTTTCAATAACATATTTACCTAATAATGGATCATTGTATTGTTCAGTAAGTTTATATTGTTTTATATTGACTCAAACTGAAATGTTTCGATACTAATTAGAAAAGATCGGCGAGTTATAATACCTTTCGAAGTATAGAAACGACATGCACAGAGTCTGGTACAGTTGGTAATGGTCAATGGTGCTGTCGAACTAATCTGTGTAATAGAGCTCAAAGAAATATGTTAACAGATGCTTTTAGTTTTGGTATAGGGATCTCAGTGCTTAACTTATTTCTTTTGAAATATTATTCGTTTGATTAAAAACATTTTCTATTCTTATTTTTCTGTACATTGACGCTTTCCTTTTTTTCTCAAGCAATTCAAGCAATTCTTTGGCTTATTTTTTTATATTGAAATAAATTGAATAAAATACTACAAAATAAAATTCATTAGAATGCTGCCTAGTGTAGACTCATGAGGAATCAAAGTTTCGAATTCACAAACGCTGACTGTTATAAATATACAGTATATTGTCAGAGGAAAATGCCAAATAAATGAATGAATCAAAATTATAAAAATTTTTATACTCAATACGCTCATTCTAAAGTTTTAGCGTCTCCATAATGTTTGCATTTGAAAATACATTTGAGTATGAAACAATACAAACATTCCAAAAACTTGTAACCAAATCATGCAGTAATCTATTGACTATAATCAAATTATTGCATAATTTTCATCGTCTAATTTTATGATCCACAAGCTGAATCTATGATTGTTTAATTTGGATCATATGTATGAAATATTCAACATAAAATATTCAGAAAACGCTCGAGCAATGCTAGACGAGCTGAATGTTTTTTCAATGAAGAAATGATTATTCACTGTATCATTGACCACTAAACAATTTTCGGATGAACATAAACAGTTAATTTTGTTTATTTTTGCGTAGTTTTTTCTTCATTCTGTTAAAATTAATTTATTTGTTAGTTCTATTGTTAGTAGTTTTCGAAATACTTATTTTTCTCATCGAATTGTAGCTATTTTTTGTGCATTATATGTTTGAACGTGAAATACAAGACAGAAAAAAGTTAGTTATCATATGGAAATCGATTTTTCAATGTTTCAAAAACGCTTCAAAAGCTAAATTCGAGAAAAGCCCATAAGAATCTCCTTTCAATTTTCTAATTAGAAAATAAAATTTTTACTTTCTCGAATGTCGAATTTTCAAATAATTAGACATCCATCAATAAATTGGTGTAGCCATTCCTAGAATATATTTATGGTTTCTCTATAAATTATTTGTTATTTTAAAGTGTAAGAAACATTTTAGAACAAATAGTTTTCAAAGCACACTTAAGAACCGATTTTTCTGATTAATGCAATCAAAAATATCATATTTTTAGGGCGTAACATATCGAAAAACAATCCGAAATGTGGGATGTGAGTATGGATGAGAGTTTGAGTGTTGGTGATCTTTTCCTTTACATCAACAGAAACACCCACAACCGTATTGATAATCAGCTTAATAAACTTGATTTACTGGTCGTATCAGTTTCCAATGTGGAGACGTTCGCGAGTGTTCATGTGTTTTTATACATACACTGTTTTCACTAAGGAATGATTTTTTTGTATGATGTGACATGAACATGAGAACATATAGAATCCATTGGAATTTCGTTCTCCTTTTTCCAATTGAATATCTGAATGTTTATCATTAGTTTTATTTTTACTAAGCAACTTACACATGAAAAATCAAAAGTTAAGGTTTGATCAAATAAGAAAGTAGTTTGATATTTTATTGCTGCCTGAATCATTATTGCAGTGAATTTTTATTTTATTTTCGAATATTCTTATCAAAGTAGTGGAAAAAGTTCTAACTATTACAAATTCCATGAAACCAAACCTAACATTGTCATTGACTAGCAATAGAGAAGTATTTGATCTTCCAGATTGTCGTAATCTCACAATTTATTGTTTTGATTGAGTTAGATTAATAACTTATTGGTTTCGGATGTTTTCATTGAAAATGATGATGAATGATATCTTTTTTGATATACTTTAGTCACTCAATCTATACATTTATAAATATCAGAAATACACATCCTTAATGATCCGATGGTCATGTTTTTTAATAGTACGATTAATCTTTCATGTGAAGTGATCTATAGGAAAGCAAATGTGGGTACCAAAACATTCTGATTCCATCATTTCTTGGACGGAGACGATTAGCTCTCTGCGAATAGTGAATAGACATTTTTTCATTTTCTGCTGTTAGATGCTTGTCAAAAAAAAAATTTTTTCACAATGATGAATTCTACTTATCTTCATGGGTGTGTTCTTTCTATGCCATGTGTCACTTGATTAAAAAATAGGCGAGCAGTATATTATTGTAAGATGAAGGTCAAAGTGTCACGTATGAGACTTAAAATTCAAGGATATTGAGATACTTTATTTTCTTTCATACTCTGAGCTCATAGAGAATGGGCGGCTGAGTTCATTTTCTGACGCAAAGCACATACCTACATTTAATATACTTTCAAAGTCACTAGAAGATCCTGAGTTAATATACACAACAATCTATGTTGATCCCAGTTGCAGCCTGAAATATTAAAAAAAAACTGAACTTCGAGACATTTAGCACATTTTCAATTAGAATTTTTTCGCCATCGTAAAACTCACTATGTTGGCAACGTATGCTAAGTTATCGGCGTTTAAAAGATATAGTAAGAGCATGTATTTTCCTCACTTGTCCACTCAGTCTCATATGTACAAATGAAATTCGTAGATCAGATTCTGACAAACTGCTCAAAGTTGCTTTCAGGTTCGAATGGTTCTCCATATTGAG